TACGTGGTTCCTGCTATTTTTGTGCTGATGTGGGTAATATCATCAGGAAAAAGTTTAGCTAATCCAAAATCTCCAATTTTGGGTTCAAAGTCATTGTCAAGAAGTACATTGCTAGCTTTGACGTCTCTATGAACAATGTGCGGCACAAGTTCTTCATGAAGATACGCAAGACCTCTGGCGGTACCCATGCAGATAGCAGATCTTTTTCTCCAGTCCAAACTTGTTGTCCTCCTCAAACCTGTAAACACAAGTGTTGTTCTCAATAACCCTTTTTGCATTATGATTTTGATGAATCATTTTAAATGCCGTAGGACCCTGTCAGATTACCTAATAATGCACGATCTAGGCTGTTATTTTCTAAATATTCATACACCAAAATTCGGTTACTTTCATGAATACAGCATCCAATTAATTCAACAAGGTTTGGATGTTTAACATTGGATATAGTATCAATTTCAGTTAAAAACTCCCGCTCTCCCTGTCGTGACTCAGCAGAAAGTGTCTTCACAGCAACTTGTGTCCCATTACTGAGAGTTCCCTACGAAATAGCAGCAGAGTAAAAAATAGTACTGCAGGAAAGGTAGATGACAAACTTATTACTATGACTGTGCTGATACCAAATATAATATTCAAGAGGACGTAAATATATAAAATAAGTTGCTTTTAATTGCAGTATTTCTGAAGCTACCTACAGCCTGGACAATTTAATGTAACATATCAGCTAAGTTGCCCTTCTCAGTGATAAATGCATGGATTCTGGCAAGATAAACATCCTGTCAGCTGCTTTCTGATTAAATTAATATATAATTGTGTATGCAATGTGTCATTAGTCTGGATTGAGTGGAAGGTTAAAATTTGGACAATGAAGCGCAGGACTTGGCTGAAGCTCATAAAGATTAATTGCACCAATGTTTTAAGTAGCTAAGCACTCATCCACAAAGATGGGAAGTGAAAGTGTTACTGCCTTTGCATATCATAATTACCAGGAAAGATAACATGTATAAAATAAAGTAA